GGACACTCTTGTGGGACACTCTTGTACTTGGATGATCTGGGGTTTGCTGGTGGTTTATGCTGTTTATCAATAGTTTGTTAGTAGCTACCTAGATAGCTTTTAAGTTTATCTTAAGAATCTGTTAACCAGATATAAAGTTTCTATTTTTTTTAAAGGTTAACCCCTGTTTAGCTAAAAATTAGCTAAAGTCACCACTGCAACATAATTATGTTAAGTGCTTAGCCTGAAAAATGCTAATTATGTTAACTAATGTTAAATGTTTAGCTTCAAAATTAACATAGTTAGCCAAGTACTTAGCTAAGTACTTAGCTGGCCTTGCAGCTTCACACCAAGAAGTCAATTTGCATATTTTTGATTGTTTTTTTCCCGAAAGCACCTGCGAAGGGTTTTTCCTTAAGCACTGCTGCCTATTTCATCTTCCTTAATCTCTTTCTCTTACTTCATCTTCCCCACTCTCTCTTCCTTACTCTCTTTCTCTTACTTCATCTTCCCCACTCTCTCTTCCTGACTCTCTTTATCCTACTTCACCTTCCTTACTTCATATTCTTTACTAACTTTCTCCTACTTCACCCTCACAACATCATCATCTAATCATCACCTCATAGGTTATTAATCTCATATCATATCATATTATATCATATCAGGTTATAATATCATGTCACATCACATCAATGTCATAACATATCATATCATATCATGTTTTAATATCATATCACATCACATCAATGTCAGATCATATCATCTCATATCATGTGATAAAATAATATCACACCACAACATAACATATGAAGTAGAAGTATCAGATCAACAATATCAAAGTACATCAGAAGTAGATATTGATAGGTAGGTATTGATAAGTGGGTATAGACAGGTAGGTGTAGGTAGGTAGGTGTAGATAGGTAGGTGAAGATAGGTAGGTGAAGATAGGTAGGTGTAGACATCTTCCTTAAGACACCTACCCAACTTCACCTACCCAACTTCTTCTTTATTCTTCTCTTTAGGCGGCGGGGCGGTGCGAGCAGGTCTTACGAAACGCAACCCTCTCGTGGAATCGTGGCCATCGATCGCGCGCGCGTGTGGTGAGACGCGAATCGCGTTTGCCCTCGAGCAACCCTCTGCGGAGATCGTGCGTGTCGAGCGCACGAACGTGTGGTGAAACGTACATTTTGTCTGAGCGCGGCTGGGCGCACCATTATAATTCTGGTCACAAGGATGTCCCCAATGTGCGGTCCGGACCGCATACTCAATGGAAAATGCGATTCCAAGGTCTGTGCCCGGTCTGTGCCCGGATCGTTCCCCCATTGTAATTCTGGTCGCAAGGATGTCGCGAATGTGCGCTGCGGACTTCATACTCGTTGGGAAATGCGATTCCATGGTCTGTGCCCGGAGCGTTCCCCCATTGTAATTCTGGCTCGAAGGTGTTCCTGTGTCATCGCTCGGAGCGTAGTTACATTGTGTTTTGCAAGCTTTGGTTGCTAATCGCCTTATAGTTCTGGCTCGAAGGTGTTCCTGT